CTTTTCTTTGTTGAGGTTATCAACCTGCTTATGATTCAACAGAAAATGACAAAAGTCAAATAAAAGATGTGACTAAGTTGATCTGAGTTGTTTCCTGCGTCCTCTGTGCCAAGCCTGGTCGAGTTCAGGCAGACAAACCCCAAAATAACTCGTCACCGACTTTACATGAGAAAATAAATTGAATGTGATTGGTCGTCTATCAAGGGGTGGAATGGCTGTGGCGGAAGGTTCGCAAGCCAGTTTGCCTGTGGTCGGTGTCTCTGAAGCATCTTGCTAACCAGTTAGCGACTTAGTGCTAGTAGGTACCCAATGGGAAATTCCATTGGGACGAAGTAGCACTAAATTGGTGACTTAAGGCCAATTTATTCTTCTGACACATAGCCTCTGCAACCGTTAAATCTGTCTCTGTGCTCGTCGCGCACCTAAAAAAAAATCCTGACTACGAGTCCAACGGTCGCAAACCCACGCAGACCTCATGTGATTGGTCCTTGGTATGTCTTTCCGGCTGTCTGTGTGGCCGTCCTTCTCGATTCGGTGCTGGGGCGCGGCATTTTTAAAAACCGAGGAACAACTACAATGGACAACTACGATCAAAGGTTAATCGAGGAGGTTCGGAAGTAGAGCGACTTGTACGATGCCTCAGACAAATGATATAAAGATGCCAAGGTCTCTGCTGAAACGAAGTTCTCGTGGCCATCCGCCGAAGTTCTCGTATAGGCTCCCCCTTGCACTTTGGCAGGAAACTGCTGTACATCCCTAGAAATTCCAGACTGACGGTGCAGAAGCATACCAGCTAAACTGGTTTGCGACCAGTCCCAAGCGACATTTGATGTGTGCGGTTGCAGAAGTCTAACCTGCCCTTTAGAAACAAATACAGTAAATACAGTTGTAGCTTCAGGGCTCCACAGAAAAGGCGGGAATCACCTTAGCAACCGGTGACTCTGCATTTTCTTAGTTTCTGGTTCTCGGATCTCAGCTGGTTTGTTTCTTCTGTTTAATTCATCATTAAGTATTTTGTATACAAACGTCCCTCAGAAAATTATGCTATATTAGGATCAACTATTATTTATATGATTATTAGTAGTTTTTTTTAATCTCTGGATGATAATCTGTGGTTTGTCGTTACAAACCATCCGGTAGATGTTTCAAATAAATTTCTTGCTAATTCATCCATTTTCTGTGTCCTTTGAAAGTGGATT